TGGGGAGCCATTAGCTAAGCTTCGGGCAATTTCCCGAAGAAAAAACTACTCGAATAAAGGGTAGAATTAAGACAGATCAAATTAACGATATTAAGTCTGATTCCTCTTCGGACTTCCTCCCTACTTCCGCATTGGGGGTTTGGTAGAGTATGTTGTAAATCAATTCACACGGTTAAATTTGTGATAATTAAAAGTAACAAACTAAAAAAAATCAAAAAGTTTAGATGACATATGACATGCATCCCGTCTCCGATGACATCTTTATCTTATAGCAAAATACTGGTTGCATCTAATCTAATAGATGTGTAGAAGAACATGATGGATAAAAACCTCACGATAAAATTTTTATCTTATAGCAAAATGTTGGCTTCAATCTAATAGATATTTTTTTTTTCTATTTGCAACCAGCATTCTAACTATACTAAAGTAAACCATTATATCATTAAGAATATATTATAGTTATGTTATCAAATCATAAAAAGATATTAAATCTATATTGTAAAAAAAAAAAAAAAAATCATATGATTTTATAACAATTCTACTACATTATTTAACAGTATTCTTTTTTATTATATAATAAAATAATAATTGAATATTATATGGTAAATAAGAATAAGTAAAACTGTTACTTTCTATGCTAAAATTAAATTTTTATTAGTATAAATATTTTAGTGAAATAATATATTAATTAATTTACAAGTTAGCCCTAACATGGTCATATTTAATGTTCTGGCTAAAAAACAACGCTGATTAAAAGATGTGAAAAAAAGTTTATAACCCTATCGTGTTTTAGATTCAACGTTTACTTTTTAGATTTAAACGAAAAAGACAGTGAAAATAACTCATTTAATATTTTTGTGTCGTGTGAGTACCTATACCTACTAGTGAGTTGGAAAAAATATCACCTTACATTTTTATTTTTATTTTTTTTCAAAAAAGAATAAATGAAAAAATCACGCCCTCATTCATGCTTCAAATTCATCTCCACTGCCACATCCAAGAGCTCTTTGTCTCTCCACTGGACCAAAATTCATCATCAATCGCGCTTTTTCCTCCTCCATGGCTGAAACCCCTTCAACCCGCTTCCCGGCCCGAGCCCAATCCCAACCCGAATCGGGCCTTGATTCCCCTCAATACTGGTGCTACCACTGCGACAGGCGCGTCGCCGTCGAAACCCTACCGGATCTCCCCGACGTCGTCTGCTGCGACTGCAAGAACGGCTTCGTCGAGTCCATCTCCGCCGCGGCCCTCCCCATCCCGGACGCCGCGGCCGATTCCCTGGCCGATCCCGCCCTCGGAAGCCAGTTCATCCAGGTCCTCCGCCTCATCGCCCAGGCGGCGCGCGAGGAGGACGCGCCGCCCCCTCTCCCCTCCGATCCGTCCGACGACGACTACCTCAGGATCGAGATGGACGGATGGGACAACGAGAACGATGATGACGATGATGACGATGAGGACGAGCGCTCGGTCGAGGTCGTCCACGAGGAGGACGCCGCCGCGGACACCGGATCTGATGGCGAGGAGGAAAACGGAATCGATGTCGTGGAGCCACCGGCTGGCGGGGATGATGGTGAGGATGAGGATGAAGATGATCACGAGGAGGAGATGCGCAGAACCAGGCGAGATATCCTCAGGCTGAGCCTCAGGGACATTGCCTCCCGTGCAGCCACCCGGCGGGACATGATCCTCGACTGGGCAGATATCCTGATGGGGCTTGAGGACCACGCGCTTGAGCTGAGACTCCAGGTCTCGGATTCCGATGTCTATGTCGGGAACCCGGGGGATTATGTGAACGCCGCCGAATACGAAGCCTTGCTGCAGAATTTGGCGGAGAGCGACAGCGGGGCCAAGCGTGGGGCCCCTCCGGCAGCAAAAGCGGCGGTGGAAGGGCTGAAGAGTGTGGTGGTGGAGAAGGAGGAGGAAGTGATGGTTTGTGCTATTTGCAAAGATACGGTGAATGTGGGTGAAATTGCCAAGAATTTGCCTTGCGGGCATGGTTATCATCGTGAGTGTATTGTACCCTGGTTGGGGTCAAGGAATACGTGCCCTGTTTGCAGGTTTGAGCTGCCTACGGATGATCCGGATTACGAGGAGGAGAGGAAACAGAGGGTGGTTGTGGCGGGTTTAAGGGCGGCATCTTCTGGTTCTTCTTCTGGAGGTGGTGGGGTTGGTGGCCGTGATTCTGGATTGGAATGATTTCTAATGGTAATGGGAACAAATATTCGCGCACTTTGTCTGCAGTTATGCCGGTTAGATTTCTTAGCTTTTGTTCTCGTGATGGATTCTTAGTTTTTCTTTTTTTTTTCTTGGGAAAATGAACATTGTTTGTGCACTAGATTGCTGTGTGTAGGGTGGTATGTTTTTATTTTTATTTCTCTTCTCGTTTTGTAAATAGAAAACTCCAATTCGATAACTGTCCCTATAAGGTTTCTCTATGAGTAATGCACTTGTCATCAACGCTGCTTGATTGTGATATTCGTTAACTTATCTTCCTGGTTTAGATGTGTATTTATATGGTATTATTTGATACCAAGAAGTTTTCTTTTCTGAGGAAGACATTTGAGGAGAACTCTTCCTCAAGGTGTCGTATAACGCCAAAATCTTGTGTATGATGAAGTGATAATATTTACTAATAGTGTGCTGCATAGTCGGATTGTATACTTTGGTGGGTGGGACCTTAAAATGGTGAAAATATCACACGAAGATTTCCTCATCATGAAAATCAAGTGGGTGCATAATGTTTTTGGGGGCTCGATTTTTAAAGTTATAATGATGGATATTTCTTGATTATAGATACAGGAGCAAAGAAATGTTTAAATAGCTGTATGTGTTGCAGCTCTTGATAATCACATACAAAGCATCAAAGGTAAGGGACAAGAAAAATTGAACAAGACTTCATTATTGCCCTTTTGTTGAACTTCAAAAGTGATTTTTCAAAATGCAGTAATCTGTGTCTCATTCTTCATGAGTTTCTGTATTCTCTGAAATTATTTATGAAATTGCATCGTGGAACTTGTAGAATGAAGCGTTTTTCGTTCTTTTACCAAATGATAAGCTGTTGTGTGATGTATTGTACACATGGTGCACGTACGTTCTGACTTTTTTATTTCATTTTTTTTTTTTTTTGAATCGTCTCCATTATCCTGCATCCAAACCATACGCATGCTTGTGAAATTGTGGCATTTAAATGGAAAGACAGTTTAGATATGCCATATAGTACTGTCCCCAATTTATTTATTTATTTATTTATTTTTCCGGTTGAGCTACTTCAAAGTGTTTTGTTCTAGCTATCTCCATATGGGATTTCTTGCATGTTTTAAAAAGCCATGCCCCTAGCATAACTTACCTTTTATATGATTATGGTACGTGTAGAATCTGATCAAGACTTTTGGGTCTTTCAGTGACTCGCAGTGGAGTCTAGGAATTCTTGTGAGCTGATTATTATAACATCGTGGTAATTAGAACTTCAATACTTGCATTATGGGTGTTTAGTTCGCCCTTAAACAGGCTTTCGTTGTTGAGAGTTTCTGATAGTATCTCGTGAGAATTGCTTCTTTTTAAGGAAACTGGTAAAATCACAGTTAGTTGAGAGAAGACGGAAAATTGAATATTCCATATACAAATTTTGCTCAACAAGAATTTCCAGCGTAGAGAATATGTCATGATGAATAGGTTCTTTCTGAACGACAAGCACAGATATATGATAAGATGTCAATTATTCCAAGTGTATAAAGAGGTTTTGCTTGAGAGTAAGCCTTTCTCAATTCGCAAGTGTTTCTGGTTGAGGTTGTTTTACAACAACCACAAGAATTTCTGTTGGACAGTGGGAGGATTGCTTGGTTTGACATTGGGGAAATAGTATTCTGGGAAGATATAGTTGTTATGTGAATGAGACAAAGATAGAGAGATGTCATTTGCATACTGTGTTGGGCCTAGGGGTGTAAACGAATAGAGCCGAGCTCGTAACCAAAAGAGCTTTAAATCGTTTGAGCTGAGCTCAGCTCGTTTAATTTAACAGTTGTAGTTCTAAATGACCAAAATGGTTAAGGTTTGCAGCACATGTAATGACAATGAACAATTAGACTAGTCAATCTGTCATTTTTTAGTGAAAAATACATACTTGTGCTAGGAAATATTATATTTGTTTATAGTTTAAGAAGACGAAGACTTAGAAAATTTACATACAAATTAACTCCTGACTTAGTATTTCTCGGTTTGAGCATGAACCGAGAATCCAGTATTCCGGGCAGGGCCGAGGGGGAATTCCGGTAGACAAAAGGAGCATTAAGGGTACAAATAATAGGGTGGAAATGTTTATTCCGGTGTCCGTGGTGTCACCGCCGCCGAGCAGCTTACCTTTGCCGAGGTTTTGTTTGAGACGTAATTGTAAGCTATTTCACGGCCAACTCAAGTGTCTTGCTAGCTATTTCATTCAAGCATGAGTGCTCTTCGTAGCTAGCTCGAGGTCAGCATTTTACAGTGGAAAAACCCATTCTTACCTCTATTGTCTATGATTCAGGCATTGACCCGGCCAGGCAACTCAATTTGACCCAATCCTTATGTATAATTTTTTTTCAAATACTTTTTATTTTAAAAATAAAACAATATGTATATATATTTATGTGGTATATTTTCAATGAAATACAATATTGTTAATAATTTGAGGTATAGAATTTACATATAAATCATTTATTTTTGTTAATTTTAAGTATTTATAAGATAAAAATTGTATATACACAATACTAGTATTTCCAAAATCAATTGATCCGATAACCCAACGATTGAACCAGCAGCCCGGAGATCAGCCCGGGTCCAATATATTACAAGGTGTAAAAACATTGCTTTCAAATAATAACAACAGAAATAAATGGATAAATGATAATCATTGAAAGCACTCTACAGCCAGATTTTTCTGTCTTTTCCTGAATAAAGGAACCATTTCTCCCTCACTTGTGGAGAATGAAGAGCACATCACCAAATGCTGATACACAAAATGGTACCTATGAGTTTTCAGTTTGCTTATGGGCACAGACGGGGCACGTGTAAAAGATCGTTTGCCCTTCATCAGCAGATCTTATCTGACGGCAAGGAGAAAAGAAAACCTTGTTAAAACAAATTAAACCAGAAAAAGGGAAAAGAAACTACTCTTCCGAGAAAAATATATGAAGTTTGATTTGACACACACATTGTATATAGATGCAAAAATGCCAAGATTTTACCTGTCTGGCAACGTAAGCCATGCCAAGATGTTGGCACGCTCTGCACTTCGCGTTATAATCCTGTATGATCAGAAGAGAATGTAGCATAAAAATCTAAAATAATACGATTTATTAAAAGGGAAAAAAAAGGCACCAAATAAAAAGAAAGTATGTTTTATGATTGTGACCATTTGTTTTAGTTCCCTCTCTTCTTCAATGTCGTCGAGTGAAGATATTCCGAGCTCTCGCCTCATATCCTGCAAAAAGAGATATATTTCAAGTATCATTTTAATGCAAAACTGATTTGAGAGAATAAGCCAAGGCACAAGAAAGCAAGGGCAACAGGGATACATAATATATTTATCATTTGAGGTACTGTCGAGCTAAACAAATATGTATAGTTTGTAAATAAGACAATGATGAACGAGGATAATTTCTCTTCTTTTTTCGTAATAATATCTTAAAAGAAAAATGCGGTCTTTATTGAACTCCAGACTGCCACACAATTTTACCTATTTTTAACTGAAAAATAATATAGTACACAAACTGCTAAAACATGTATCTTTAGACATAAACTTGCTACCACAGCATAAGAGAAACAAATCCAGGCAAAGCAAAACAGTATCGTACCTCAGCACTGATAGTATATTTGATCTCTTTTCCAGCTATCTCTGAGGTTATAAAAGAAAACAAAGTAAAAAACCCAAATCAACGATCCAAAAGAGCAAAACAATATTCAACAAGGCAAACACATTGATGCAAAATCTGATCATGTCATTCCAATTCAAGATGTTAAACGAAACGAGCCACTCATGAGCTATGCTTTGGTCAGCTTAAGTCAGTTCGTCAAGGCTCAAGCTCGACCCAATCAAACGAGCCAGCTCCATATATTAAGGCTCGAGAATAGGGGATTTTACGTAATTTTTTGAATTTTTACCTTTGCTCGGCTCGTTAAAGGTCAAGTTCAGCACGTTAATACTGATAAATGAGCCGAGAAACGAGCTTAGCTTACCTTAGCTCAGCTAGTTTACACCAATTTCAATGCGGGATCACTATTTTGCTGTAAATTGAATCATAAATCAATCTAAATCATGAAACAGAGTGTGAAGACCCACAAAAAGAGTAACTTTTTCTTATGATTAACCCATTATTTCTGTACTCATTATCCCCAAATCCATAACGAAAAAAATCAGCAAATAAAATGGGAAGAAAAACCTAACCTTTGAGCCGTTTCTTGAATTTGCACAGCGGGCATCGAGCATACTTAGTAGAATCGAAAGACAACATCGTCCCGCACATCTCGCAGAACATGAAATCACGATTACGGCTGTAGGACATGATTGTGAGATGTGATCTACGCAGAGGTTTTGCCGTCTTCAGCTTGCAAATTCTGGTGATTTCCAGACGAATTGGTAGGAAGCTCGGGCTCTAAACCCCAATGAAAATTAGGGTTTAAGGTTTGGGCTTTTTTGAGCATAAGGAGAAAGGGTAAATAACATGGGTCTAATTTGGGCCGGATGATTAGGCCCACTACTATATCCACACACTAGATTCAATCCTATCCGTGAGATCATGTATTCGTCCAACATTAAAGGGCATTACTATTTACTGCCCCCTTGTCACCGCCCCCCTTGGACGATTTTGCCCTTTTCATTTTTTGTGTCCGCAAGATGTCGACCAGCTCGGAGGTAAAAAAAAAAAAACCGACCGGCCCGTTTTACCGCACGGCACCGGTGATGTCCGACCGACCGGACCGGACGGCTTAACACACGTCCGGCCGGTTCGACCGGACACACCCCCGGCCGTCCGGTTTTGGTGGTCGTACGTACCGGTGGTTGTACAAACGGACCGGTCGTACGACCCACTTGGTGTCCGGCCGCGACGGTCGGTTGTAACCCGGTCCGATCGGTCCGACCGGTCGGACATCCTTTTTTTATTTTTTTTTTATTTTTTTATTATTAATTTTAAATGCTTTAAAATTATTAAATACATTGCAGGTGTCTTTAGAAGATTTTGGAGGAGATGGTGTTGATTACCGTTCCGCTTTCAATACAACTACGTTGTTTATTAGTGATGTGGAGGCTATTAAGGATGCAAAAAGTACGGCAATTCTGAATGGTTTCTTTTTTACTATTTCGAAATACAAAAAACCCGGAAGGCTGAAGATCTTGAAGTGCGATCGAGGCGAACGTTATAGAGGCAAAAACGTAGATATGAATAAAGCTGTTTCGAGACGTTCAAAAACGAAAGCGTGCCAGTGCCCTTTTGAGATACAAGTAAAGCGTGTTGCCAGATCGACATACTGGATGATCCACACGAGTCAAGACGAAACGAAGGGATACCATAATCATTCATTTGACGTGTATCCTGAGGGCCATCGACAGTCGAGCGGCATAAGCGTGTCATCCAAAAAAAATTATTCGTGAAATGACTGCTGCGCATGTGACACCAGCAAATATTTTGGCCGCCGTCCATGAAAAAAATCCACACGACCATGCTAATCGGCGACATGTATATAACTATAGAGACTGGTTGCGTAAGGAAAGTTTTGAGGGTAGGGACGTTCCTACCCAACTTCTACATTTGGCAAACAGCAGCAACTACATAGTTTATACAAATGTCGATCCGAATACAAATGCACTGACACACATATTCATGGCCCATCCTGATTCAGTGAGTCTATTCCGGACTTATTATTGGTTTGTCGACATAGATTCGACGTACAAAACCAACAGGTATTTTAAATTTATAGATATGTTATTAGTATTAATTTAAATTTGTATTTTGGATTAGATTTAATGTGATTATAATTTATTTCTTTTGGTCTCATTTTCACAGGTACAAGATGCCGTTGGTCGAGATGATTGGCATGACGCCGTGCAACAATAACTTTTTAATTGCGTATGCCCTCATGAAGGACGAGAAAGAGGCCAGTTAGGATTGGGTTCTCGACAAGTTGAGACTTCTCATAGGCTATACGGTAAGAATTTATATGAAGTGCATGATTAATTTAATTAGTATATAAACGTACTTTGTGCAATATGGTAAAAAAAAATCTGAGGTTTTTTTTGCGTGTCTCACTAATTTTTGACGCTGCTCAGGTGCATCCTAATGCGGTTGTCAGTGACAGAGAGTTGGGCTTATTGACTCCTATTAGGAGGCATTTTCCCCAATCTGCCCACTTACTCTGCACGTGGCACATCAACAAGGATGTGGAAAACAAAGTGTACAACTTGTTTGGGAAAGATAAAAATTTATCTGAGAGGTTCTTGCGCGGTCGGTGGAAGTCGATTATGGATGCCAGTACGTCGGATGAGTACGACACTGCCGTAGCTCAATTGAATGCAAAATACGGGAATGATTCAAAAGTGGTACAATATCTCGAGCAGACGTGGCTAGGCCACAAGGAGAAGTTTGTGAAAGCCTGGACGAACCAAGTAACACATTTTGGCAACACAACTACCTGTAGGGTGGAAAGTGCCCACTCTGTGTTGAAGCAGTGGCTTCGCACGTCGACTGGCGCGCTAGATACAGTGTGGCATAAGATTGATAAGGAGATCGAGTCTCAATTGACTGAAATCAGGTACATTCCTCAAATATATTATATACAAGTATAATATATTATATTATATAAGTATATTATAATTTGTTTTGTAATGTATTAACAGGACAGCACTTGAGTCTTCGAGACTTAGGAAGAGTACGGCATATACGGGATTGACTTTCGCGTGCTTGACATTGAGAGTCTCGCATTACTGTATGAATTTATTGAACGATGAGCTAACAAGGATGCGAGACTTGAGCCATGAAGTTTACTTGCGTTGCGGCTGTGTATTGCCTACCACACATGGAATTCCTTATGCATGTACGCTTCGTACAGCACATGATTCTAAAATGGCGATTGGTATTGACATGATCCACGAGTTCTGGAAGACACTAGAGATGTTAGAACCGGGTAATTTGTGGTTAAT